GGGAGTGTCTGTGTGTATTGTACGGATTGATTGGTTGTATTTCAAAACCTTGAGGGCAGTACTATGTTTGTAGAATGTGAATAGAAGAGGCTGTTTGTGCCTGTACAGTCACGTCTACTTCACCCTCAATTTGGAGTGCTGTCTCTTATTGGGGGAATCTGCTACAAGGGATTGCTATGCTCTGCATACTCCCTTGCTATATTCACTGCTAAGCTCTTGTAAGAGCTTGTTCCGGTTCTGCTCTCTGCAGGAGCCCACAGTGGTTATGGTGTCGGTTGCAGTGCTTGGAGTCCTCAGGAAGCGTTAGGAGCATCCTTCAATGGAGGTACCCAGTCGGGGTGCCAGGTAATCCGTTACATTGGTGGCAAGCGGTGGGATGGCGTCCTAGTGCCAGGAGAAGCTGTTTAGAGACACCGGTAATGGGCGGAGTTACAAATAGAGGGATAGAGCTAGCTACCGTGTAGCGTCCCTATCTACAACAGCATGGAGAGACCAAGACCCTGGATAGAACCCTGCGAAGAGCTCCTCAACCTGATACGTCGCTACGAGGGCGACGCTTACCTTGAGGAGGTAAAGAGGCGGTTGGTCTGGTATGGCCCAGACCCTTCGAACGAGGTGGTCTTCCAAGTAATGCGCCAGTTGAGTGCTGAGAACCATGCGGCAATTGAGCAAAAACTGTGGGGGTTGAGGATATGGACACCCAATCTCCAGCGGCGGTGTGCGCTCCAGGGAGCCGAAGCTGTCGTCCTTCCTCCCCAGCGGCAGTGTGAGTCCCAGGGAGCCGAAGGTGTCATCCTTCCTCCCCAGCGGCAGCGTGAGTCCCAGGGAGCCGAAGGTGTCGTCCTTCCTCCCCGGCGGCAGTGTGAGTTTCAAATTTCAGGCTATAATGAGCAAAGACAGCTAAGTTTTCAGTTTAGCTATTATGGCCTACGATTTGACATAGAGGAGTAAAAAAAAAAGTATTACTTTGTAACTGCTCCAGGAAATGATTCCACAAGGTTAAACCTACAGCCAGACCACTTGAGATGAATTGGCCTGCGTGACTTTAGTCAACTTCAACTCTGAATTCTCAATCATTTACACTTTAGTGAATATCCAGTTGTATAAAAGTGCTAGAAATATGAGATGAAAGCTCAGAGTACAGTTCTCCACTGATGTTATTTCAGTATGCCTAGATGTACATGCCTCTATTACTTATGTGAGTTTGTTAAGTACTCTGGACAGGAGGGATATATAATAAAGACTGTTAAATACAATGTAAAAAAACAAGGAAAACTTTGGTACTAAAAGAATATGCCACTCCCTGGTCTCTGTAGTGTTCCAGAAAAAAGGAGACATGGAATGTTACATGTAATTCATAGGTTCCCCGGGCCACATTGAGCAAAGATGAATTGTCTTGGGTCACGCCTAAAATATATAATAAAACTTCAAAAGCCCTGTTCTTAATTTTGATATTTCATTTGTTTAGTAAAAACCCTCTTATTTGTTATCCTTATGTGGGATTGCCATATTTACGGATACTATACACATACCACAAATATATACACACATATATATAATCACAGACCTATACACACATACAATTACAGACCTATACACACTCACACACACACAATTACAGACACACACATGCACACACACAGACAATCACAGACATAGACACATATACATAATCACAGACCTATACACACAATCACATACATACACACACACATTCACATAATCACAGACCTGCACAAACACAATCATAGACCCCACACTCACAGACCTATACACACACACAAGACATACACACATAACAGACATATACAATCACGGACACAGTATCAAATACACACATAATTACTGGCATACACACACAAAAATCACATTCATACACACACATTTAGTAATTATGAGGTCCACCCAGCCTCCCTACCGAGCTATGGGAGGGTTGTTGTGGATACTCTTCCTGTGGTCAGTGGTCAGGGCCGGTGCAAGGATTTTTGCCGCCCTAGGCAAAAGTAAAGTTTGCCGCCCCCCCCATGTGACATCACAATACCCCACCCATATGATCAGCCATGTTAACTAACGCCAGTGCTGCACGGTAGCCGTGTTTACATTAAAAGGCCTGCAGGGACAGGCTATGGACACCAGAACCACTACATTAAGCTGAAGTGGTTCTGGGGACTAGAGATTAGTGCCACGAATAACAACCAGATGAGGATGATGATGGGCTCTAGCTGCAGTCTGGCTCCACTGGTCTGGTGTAGAACAGGCTCCCTGGAGGCTGTTTGTAACTGTGGTCACAAAAATCAATGTTCTGGGAGAATGGGAAGCAGCTCCATTTTTTAAGGCCCTCTACACACAAGGTCTGGGTCCCAGGGTCCACTTTCATGTTCCACCAATGAGTTTGTTCACAGGGGGTGGAGTAGGGGGATGTCCGGATATGTGTGTAAGGAATGCATTGTGTGAATCTGTGTTTGTATGTGTAAGGGCTGCAAGGTGTGTTTCTGTGTATGTACGGGATGCATTGAGTGTGTGCATCTGTAAGGGGTGCATTGAGTATGTGTAAGGATTGCATTGTGAGTTTCTGTGTGTGTAAGGGTTGCATTGCTTGTGTGTGTGTGTGTGTGTGTGTGTGTGTCTGTGTGTGTAATGCATTGTGTGTTTTTCTGTGTGCAAGGGGTGCATTGTCTTTTTGTGTAAGGGGTGCATTGTGTGTGTGATGGATGTCAATCTCTTCTCCCCCCTCTCCCTCCCTTGTCCCTCTCTTCTCCCCCCCTTGTCCCTCTCTTCTCTCCCCCTCCCTTGTCACTCTCTTCTCCCCTGCTTGTCCCTCTCTTCTCCCCCCTCCCTTGTCACTCTCTTCTCCCCTCCCCACTCTCATTCCCCCATCAATTCCCCTCCCTGTCAATTTCTTCCCCCCCTCCCTGTCAATTTCTTCCCCCCCTCCCCTGTCAATTTCCCCACCCCTGTCAATTCCCCCCCTCTGTCAATTTCACCCCCTCTCTCTGTCAATTCCCCCCCCTCCCTGTCAATTCCCCCTCCCTGTCAGTTTACCCCCTGTCCTTTCCCCCTCACCTGTCCATTTCCCCCCCCCTCCCCTGTTCATTCCCCCCACCTGTCCATTTCCCCACCTGTCATTTCCATTTCCCCTCCTGTCCATTTCCCCACTCCATGTCAGTTTCTCTCCCTACCTCCCTGTGGCGTGGCGGAGCCCTCTATGGGTATGGTCATGAGGGTACAGGGGAGCTTTTGTTCTATGCCCGGCCGGACTAACCGGAAGTACACACTCAGTGCACTTCCTTGAAGTCAGGCGTAATACAAGGCTGAATGCTCCTGTACCGGACTCATATAGAGGGCTCGGCCACGCTACAGAGAGGGAGTGACGGGAGAGAGCGCTGAGCGCTTCCCTCCTGTCAGCCCCTCTCCCCATGCTGCGCCCGGGCGGTGCGGTCCGCCCTCATGGACGCACCGCCCGGTCAAAGCTGCAGCCGCCTGAGGCTCTCTACAGAGCGCTCGGGCGGCTGCAGCATGAGCGGGGCCGGCGCTCCTGGCGGCGCCCCCTCCCAAGGGGCGCCCTAGGCGGCTGCCTAGTCCACCTTACAGGTAGAGCCGGCCCTGCCAGTGGTTGCTGCTGTGAAAGGATCACTGTGCTCTTCCTACAGAGGTCCCTCGTGAGCCCAGTAGTGATGCCAATACAGGGATAACATCATATCCCAGCTGCTGGCTCACTGCAGTGTGTGCAAGGGAGCTGTGCAGAAAGAGCACAGTAAGTAGTGGGCTCCTTGCCACCCGGTCTGCAAGTGGGCCTGATTACAAGCAATTCAGGGCCCGATGCAGCCTGCAGCTTGGACATGCTTGATGTAAATTGTCTAAAAGGAAGTATAGTTTGATTGTGGATGAAAAGGAGAGTCACAAAAGGACATAACTGGGCAATGATAGAGGAAGTGGAGGAAGATGGTGTATAATAAGGAGCATCAAGAAAAAGATTTAAGTGAACAGGTTATGGTATAAATCAGAGGTCAGCCTTTATCTACAACAGGGCTGTCCAAAAATGGTGTACATTGACGTTGCGGTAGGCTTATGATCATATAATGTAACTAAACACCCATCATTTTAACCTAGATTAAGTGTTAAAAAAAAATTACAGTGCACTGAATCTCTCTCTCTTATATATATTATTATTTTTTTTTTAATTAAGCATATACACACACTTAATATAAATTGCACAATTATTTCCCAAACCAAAACAATGTACCTTTTGTTCGTTGCAGTATTAGCCTCTGAAGCCAATGGACATCTTCGCATTGTCCTTTCAAATGCTTCTCAAAGGCAGAGTTATTCAATAAAGTCAAAATTGTAGGGAATTTAATCACAATTTCAAATACAGGGCCAAGTATATGGACTGGAAAAAAATTCTCCCAGTCAGCTATGCTACTATTTAGGTCTTAAGAGGAACACTCCAGACACCATAACAACTTTATCAGAATAATGTTATAGTGCCAGGAGGTCACTGATGCCAGCTTATCTTACCCCAAAAGTCTGACTCCTGATGGTATGCTGGTGCCAAGAACCTCCTAGCACCATAACACCACAAGTCCAATTGCGTAATGTTGGTGGGTCCCTTTAAATTTCTAACAATTCTCAATCTAGCGAATAACCCTGAGAGAAGCACAGAGCAATGGCAGATACCCCCTCCCCCCTCCCAAGGAAATAATGTACAGGCGCTCCTTCTCCATTTCCCTCCTCTGCCGGTCCATTGTGCCTTCACGGGCCAGAGGGTAGATTAGTGATCTTCCTCACTGGCCTGCTGGCACTTTGTGCTGCCTGGGCAGCCACCAGGGGAGGGAGAGTGGAGACCCAAGAGCTCTAATCTGCAGCTCCACCGGGTCTCCTCTGGCGAGCACGGAGTGTTGCCACGATTACCACAGCAATGCTCTGCTCTCGCAAGAGTGAACTCTGCCCAGGAACTGCAGGCTAGAGTTCACTCCCCACTAGAACCACCAGAGATTCTCCACCGGACCACTAGGGCTTCACAATCGATATCCCCCCCACTCCCTGGGCAAAAGTAAGAAGGGAGGGGGGACAAAGCATATATATTTTAATTTTTTTTAAATAACCTTTTTGTTTTAATCAGCCCCTCCCAAACACACAATACCACCCTACACACCAACCCCCAATTCACACACACTGTCTCATTCACACAAATCGTGCACACACACACAAACTTCACCCCTCACTGCCCCTATCCTAGCAGATCCCAGGTAAGTTGTCAAACTGTTCTTAAACAAACCGTTTTCCTGGCAATGCAGGTCCCTCTCCCTCCCTGTATCCAGCGCCGATGTCCCTTGGCGCTGGGTGAGGGTCCGCCCACATAATCCAGCAGGGGAGACCTATTGAGCATGCGCGGCCGGCAGCGGGGGAGACCTAATACGCATTAGACCTCCCCATAGGAAAGCATTGAATAATGCTTTCAATGCTTTCCTATGGGGATTTCAGCGACGCTGGAGGTCCTCACATAGACAACCACTAGAGGAGAACTAACCCCTTCAAGGTAAATATTGCACTTGCAGGGTTAAGGGTAGTGGGAGTTGGCACCTACTCCAATGGGCAGAAGTGGTCTGGGTGCCTGGAGTGTCCCTTTAAACAATTTGGCTACTTACTCTGGGAGGGCACCACGGTGCCTGGATTTTCTCTTTACATAATCTACCAGTGCCCCTCCTGAGAGATTCTGGATCTGCACCTGGCACAGAGGACAAACCTCCAACCTAAACATCTCAAAGATGGATGGCTTTATTAGTTGAAGTGCTCTTTTTAATAATTTTTTTGCTTCCATTAAAATAGTGACTTGTTGTTTAAAGCCATTGTGGACCAGCTAATAGAAGGCTAGGATTGGAGTTTTATTCCCCATATCCTGTATGGTTGTCTCAACATGAATTTATCTGTACATTTAAAGAGGGACACAGGCACCCAAAATACATTCATTTCAATGAAGTGTTGTGGGTGCCTTGTCCCTCTGGTTTTAACCCTGCAAGTGAACATTGCAATTCTATAAGAATAATGGGTAAATGCCCCTTGCTGCAATCATACTGAGAGCCACTACAGCACGGGTAGGCAAGCTTCAGAACTGGAGATGTTGTGGACTAAATCTCCCTTGAGGATTGGCCAGTATTATGGCAATAAGAGAATTAAGGGAGATGTAGTCCCAACATCGGGAGTGCTGAATATTGCCAACCCATGCAGTACACTAGAGAAACTTAAACTGGAATAGACAAGGAAAATTCTGCTATTTCAATCAGATGATCTCATAGCGACCACTTGAGACACACTACTTAGATACTTGAAATAATATATTTTAACTGCATAAAATACCCACATAGTGTATTTAGAATCTATTAATCATCCCAGCTATTTTGAGATTGGGATTTATCATGTTATCAACAGATACACAAAGTGGGAGTAGATAACATTTAGTTTATTAAAGCATAACAAAAACCAATATCAATGTTCATTGTTTAACAGAACCATGAAATTAACATTACTATGCAAATAAACTGTTTAAAAAAAATATATATATAAAATGCAAAAAAAACAAAACACATATACAAAAAGAAACAAATTGGTCCCTAGAACTCTCTTTACAAAATTACCTCCAAAGACCCAGGACACATTTAATTCAATTAAATAGAAACCCCGACTCCAGCAGTTTATCAATGAAGCTGTCAGCTAACCCCACCCACCAGACGCCGTTGCCACGGTGATGGCTGTTCGCCAGCGTTAACAGCCAATCAGCAGCTGCGAGTTGTTTCAAAGTTCCAAAGGCTGATACATTGTATCAAGTGGTAGGTGTGGCTGCAGAGGGAATAGAACCTTGATCACATTACAAGAAACCTTCTGTGATTACATGGGTTCAGTCTGTTCCCCTCAGCACTGAAGAGGCATAGCAGTCACAGTCTTTGTAAGGAAATGAAGCCGCCATCATACAAGTGCTTAAAAATAAAATAAAAACAAGCAAACAAAAAAAAAACAAAAAACCCCAGAATGTGCTCACATTAGAAAAGCTTTTCTTGCTGCAGGTGCCCTCATGCCTTTTTAGATTTAGGGACCTTGGGGACACTAGGCTTTGCAGTCTTCTTCACTTTCTTGCTCCCACCACTAGCTGCCTTCTTCTTAGAGCTCTTAGCTGCAGGTTTAGGGCTGCTGGCTGCCTTTTTGGGATTCTCCTTTTTGGGTTTGGGCTTAGACTTTGCCTTCTTGTGGCTCTTTTTAGGAGTGCTGACAGGCGCTGCCTTCTTCTTGGCTGCTGGTTTAGCGGGCGCAGCCTTCTTCTCAGCGGGGAGACCCTCCAGCTTCTTCTTGTTGAGCCTAAAGGATCCATTGGCCCCAATTCCCTTGACCTGGAGCAAGGTGTCATTCTGGACCAGAGCCTTGATGGAGTACTTGAGGTATGTGCGTCCATTCTGCTGGTCAAACCAGGACACCTTCTTAGCCTCGCTGTAGATTTTAGCCAGGGAGGATCCATTTCTCTCGCCCAGCTTCCTGATGGTGTCCACCACTAGCTGGCTGTACCTTCCAGGCTGGTTCTTCTTCTTTTTGCTCTTTTTCTTGGCAGGTGTGACTGCGGCCCCTTTGTTCCTCTTGCTGGGAGCTCTCTTGGATGGAGTTGCATCTTCTCCTTCCTCCTCCTCCTCCTCTTCTTCCTCTTCATCTTCCTCCTCAGTGGTGGGAATGTTCTCCTCCAGCTCTAGGGACATGATGGTCGGTGTTTGGACCTCGCTTGGATTGCCGCTGATGCTCTGCGTTAAAGCTGCTCTGTGCTAATGGAGCGCCTGGCTCTGAGCTGCAGCTCTTGTACTCGGTGAGCGGACCACGTTGAGAACAACAACAGCCTCTGCTGCTCTGTGCATTAACTTGTGTTTCTTCTGCTGCATTTCAAGCACCCTCTCGCCCATCCTGGGACCCCCCCAAACCTAGGGACCCATGAAACCCGTAGCCCAGACACCTCTCTGCACCCATTGATACATACTCCCTGAAAAAATTCACAGAGGAGCAGCCCGAGAGGCAAATTAAAAGGAGCACCCTATGCCAGATTGACTGCAATGGATGGGGGCTCCCTGTTCACAAAGGGCTACTTGCCCCCCTTCTTCTCCCACAGACTCTACAAGGCTACCGATCCACAGATAAGAGCATGGAGAAGCCCCCTGGGGTAACCGTTGGACGCTGGCATTAAAGGGGTGATTATTTTAAAAGATTTAATTTCTTGCAACTAACACAGTCTGCTCCCTCCAGTGGATGTAAGAGGAAATGGCACTATCAAAAATAATTGGGGAATTTAAAAAAAGGGGGCACGCCTGATCCAAATAGAACACGCTACATTATTGTTTTTTAACCTTTTATTTGCCCGGTTGGCTTTCTGTCCCATCCTGTTGCACTCTAAGCTTCCAGTTAGCTAAATTAGAGACAGTTCAGACAAAGATCACACATGCACTTTATTATTATTTTTTATTGCCATTTTCTGATTAAGAGTAATTAAAGTTGAAGCTCTTGAGTACAATATACTGGTATGTGATATGATTTTCCAGATACAAAAAAAAAAAACCCCATCAAAACCTGATTGGATTTTATTTTGAAATATTGATGAATATTACTGCTTAATATTGAAAGCTACAGTCAGCTCTAATTTCTGAACTGCTAATCACAATTGATTCTATTTGGTAGCCCCTTTTTATACATAAGGCATTGTTTGCTATGCTGCTCTATTTAAAAAAAATCTCTTAATCAACAGCAGTTTAATTCATCCATTATTGTGCACCCACCCACTCCCACACACAGAAATCATGGCTGCAAAAATAAACCATGAAAGCCATATTACAAAGAGCAAAGCAGGTGCAGTTCAGGATAAAGTGATAATAAACAGCAACCCCCATAGAAACAAACAGTATGTTTTAAATATTTAGTAATTTGTTGCAGAATATCTCCTGATAGCCTTAATCAACCTGGTTCTTAGTCTATTACTTTAAATGCATATATCTCTCCCCATCATATTATAGTGCAAACAGATCATGCATTCTGTGTCCCTGAGCTGGGAAATATTCTAGCTGAATTGATGTGAGCCAGTGATTAAATTGGGCCTAATCTGATATGAAAAACAAAAACGAAAGGTAATTACATACATTATTCAGAAAAATCAGTCTTTGTGTAGCCACTTTCACTGTGATGCATTGTTTGCCCTTTCTACAACTGTTATAAAATCATCCTTCTACACTGTAGATATATTCATATTTGAATTTTTCTCTAATCAAACAAATTTACTGTATGGCTAGATTTTTGGAAAAATAAATATTCCATTCAATGCCTTAACCTGATTTTGTTTTTGTGTTTTTCAAATGATCTGCTCTACATTAGCCATGTCTAAAAATAAAGAGTAACTGAATAACCCCACCCCCTGACTGAGGAACAAAAGCATTTATCATGTAGAAGAGTCAGTGATGGTTTGTAGAGTGCTGCCTGTAATGTCTAGGTGGAGAATTATCTATAGATGTCAGTCTGCAACATTGTCTATAGAGCTATCACACAGGGCTCTGTTCATTCACTCTGATGCTCACAGCTATTTCCAGAAAGCTTGTGTTGACCATTTGTCACACCTGGCACTATTCAGATTTTGGAAATAGGATTTTGTGATTTTAGAATGCAGGAAACACAGGGAAACATTCCAAAGTGTGATGACTTACCTTTGGCCCTCCAGCTGTCAAGGCCTGTAGTAGCTGATGTTCTGCCAGCCAATGAGATGAAATGATGGTCATTACTGGGTTAAACCAGGAGCTGGTTGGCTTACAGGCTTTGTACCCTCATCACACTCTGTCACACTCATCCTCCATCACCCTGCCACATTCCCCCCTAATCACACTTATCCTGTCACATAAATCTCCTTACTCTTGCCACGCTCACCTCCACTCGCCCTGTCACACTTATTCTTCCCCCCATGTCACACTCACCCTGTACACAGTCATCCCCTGAATACAGTCATCATACACAAAGTCATAAAATATAGCTTTGCCATAAACACAATGAACAAAGGCAGCCCACATAAATACAATACACGACAAGCAGCTACCCCACAGACATAGGGCCCCAGAAACAAACATACACATACTCACTGAGACATACATTGAAACAGAAGGATGCTCACTTCTAGGCTCATACACAGGTAGACAATGCTAGACATAGACAGAAATAAACGCAGCCCAGTACACATTGTGACTCCATGTCTGTATTTGTCAATGTGTTGTCTCTGTGCATCAGTGTGATATTAATGGGCACACTGTACTGGGGTATTTATTAAGGGCAAATTTATTGTGGTATTAATACATTTCAGAGAAAGTTTGCAGATTAAAAAATACCTTGGTAAGTTTGCCCATTAATCAGGGCTGGATTAAGAGCCCATTGGGCCTGGTGCTGACAATTATGACGGGCTTAATTACAGAATCTTATCTGGTCGAGGTGGTGCTGGAGGGAAAATCACAGGATATAGCTATCAGAACACACATACCCTTTTCTAATCTCTCGCTTTCATCTTTCAAGTAAATCCATACCCCCTAACAGCAGTTTTCGAAGCAGGATTTTGGTGGGCGAGGTAAAAGGGTGGGCCACTGATGCGAATCACGTAACCAGAACCGCCAAAGGAACAAACATGCCCAAAAAGGGGACCTGTCTGCACAAAGAATTAGATGGTCAGACTGGCGTGAATCCATTTCAGTCTGCCTGCCAATCATGCAAGATGACCAACCAAGGGCATACTGAGCAGACAGCACCCTGAGCTTGGCAAACATGTCTTGTCTTATTATGCTCTATCTCTACATTTCCTAAGGACTATCTCGCTGGTTTACTTCTCTCTTAGGCTTCTTACTAAAAGGCAGAAGCTCCTGTTATACAGTCTGGGACTGAGAAAACGTGTATCTAGTGAGTGTAGAAGAAAGGGAACATGCCACAGTGTTAGAGAGACTGAAGCAGTGTTAGAGAGAGAGTGAACAAAGTCAGCTTAATTTTAAAACTAATTTCATTTTGAGTCAGTTCACACCAGTTTTGTTTCCCCACATCCCTCTTAAGTTTCCATACTTAAGCAATAGCATGTGAAGAGTAGTAAAAAAACAAAAAAAACATTTATTTATTTTTAAATCAATGGGCCTATTCTATAATCATGAGCCTGGAGCTGCAGCTCCATCAGCCCCTATGTTAATTCAGCCCTGCCATTAATAAACAGACAAACTTACTGTGGTATTTATTAGTTGGAAAACCTAATGTGATTAATTAGTGGGCACCTGGCTTGGCATATGTTCTGTGGGGCAAAGTGACACTATTCTGTGTATGCACTTTATTTCTCCTTTTATATATATACTTAAGGCCGTTGGCCTGTATATGTGGGAGGAGTTTGACCTATATAAACCCTATCCTCCCACTTCCCTGGGCCGTTCCGTCTCAAGTCATCTTGGTTACCTGTACTTCAGTTTCTCAGCTTCCTCGATTCCTTCCCACTTTTTTGCTGTCCATATTGCTAATTACTAGGTCTACCTGTGGTCTTCTCCGGCCCCAGTCCTCTGGATCCAGTCCTCGCTGCTGCACGAAGCTTCTCCTGGCCACAAATATCTGCAGCTGGCATGTCACATGCATGTACCACTTGGGAATAGTCACATTTGCGATATTCCCACCATTTGGGCCTAAAAATGTGGGGTAAGCTCCCTTATCTTGTTCAGTTACTTGCGCTCACACGTTTTCCCCCATTTGCGTGTTTCTGCCCGCACACTTACTGTTGGTAGTCTTCCCCTTCAGTCGAACACTTCAGTTCAGGGCAGGGCTTTTGTGGGTTTATAGGCATTTGTGCCTGTTTGGCATATTCTGTTCCCTTCAGGCTGTCCAGTTCATGGGCCGTTCGCTCGGTTCTATCCTTATCTTTATTAGCCGTGTTCAGCTAATTTAGTGTCTATTTGTTTCCCTTCAGTATTTTAGCCATTTCAGGGCTCATCTGCTAAATTCGGTTGTCACTTTGGTCTATTTTGTTCTCTCAAGTGATATTGTTGTTGTAGATAATTTACTGCAAACCAATTAGTTTGAATGACTATCTGTTCCTGTCCAAATTAAAGATAATAAAGTTGCGTGCACGCAGAAGTAAATTCACACTGAGACACAAAGTTCAGGTTAATGAAAGAACTTCGGAGAAGTTTAATGGCTTCTGTTTAAAAAGCAGGCTCGCAGGCCCTTTTAAAGGCATTATTACATCATTGAAGAAAATCAAGATATAGACAAATAGACATTGTTAATTGGCTTAGGTGCTAAGATGTTAGTAAAATGCCCTCCCTATGGGGTGTACCATCTTAAGTCACTATCCTCGTCATGATCATCTCCTCCAGGTTTTAGCGCCATTTTGCTAACATGAGGAGCTCACTCGACGGGAGGGGCCTTTTGGCAGCTATCCATTTAGAGTGTAGTTGGCACTGTTAGTTTCTCAAGGTTAGGTTTCAAGGCTTTTAGTAAATACACATTTTATCAAAGCTATTTCTTGCTGACATGCAAATTCTATGTTCTATAGACAAAGCTTTCTTGTAAAACTATGGGGGCCTCTTAGAGGTATAGCAAGAGGATTTAAAGGGGCCTTACAGATTTATAGAGGCCTAATAATTCTACAACAGTCCCCCCTAAAATGTTATTTGCTAAAAGACAAAACTTTATTTGTTAGTATCAGAAGATGTGTTAGCCCAAAGACACAGAAACCCCATGACCGCTGACTTAGTGTTAATGCAAAGTGCAAGTCTATCCCTCTCTTGACCCTAACAGGCTGCAGCACATCCGTCAGTACGGTTCAGGAACACTCTTCACTCCGCTGGTAACCCATAGTGGCTTATCCACTACTTCTCCGTACGGCAGTCTACCCATAAAGACGGACGCTGTCCCTGTACTGTCCCTTCCTAGACTTTCTGCACTTCATCAGTATAAGGGAGAGTTTGTAGCGGAATACAGGGTGAGATGAGGTCTTGATCATCGATTGTCAGATGAGTGAAGGTTGGTGTTGCTTGGTCTACAGTTTTCTGCAGGAATTTCCTTAGGCATTGGAGGACACAACAAATGAGAAGAGCGAGAATAAAAAGAAAAATTAGTAAGGCAATACCAATCTGGACTAAAGCTCTCTGCCAACCAGTCATCCAACCAAACCATTTTTCCCAGGGATCAGTAACTCTAGAGTTTCTCTTTAACTCTTCTGAGAGTCTATTTAATTTAGCTATGGCCAGAGTGACTTTACCATTAGGACCTGTGTTTTCTGGAATGTAAGTGCAACAAGTCATAGTGTCGGGTAGTATTTTACAGACCCCCCCTTTTTCGGCTAAGATCATGTCTAAGGCCAGTCTGTTCTGGAAGGTCATTTGGGATGTGGCCTGTAATTGCTCGGCCAA